AAATAAGTGTATTAAGTCGACGCCCTGTGTTTTATTTCTATCGTCGATGACACAGCTGAGGAAGTAACCCATCATTTAGCTCCTGAGGAGTTTTATCTAATAATAAAACTAATAATAGCAATATTCTAAAAGAGGAAGTTTGTCGAGAAGGGCTAGTTTCACTAAAGTCTAAACAGAGGTTGTTAAGTTATACTGTACATACAGAAAAGACTATTTCTGTACAATAATAATCCATATGAACTGCAATATAAAAACAAAGATATGATTCATGCTTGTTCTGTTTTGATACCGCTTATTCATGAGATTTAAAAGTCCCAAGTGTACAGAATATCTTGCTGAAATGAACAGATTTTCTTATTATATTTCAAATATCTGTAGTTTTAGATTAAACAACACCTTTTAACCAGTAGAAATGGACTTTTCAAGTTAAATAAGATAAGACCAGTGGAGTAAGATCTTTGACTTAAGAAAAAGTACCAGTACAATACTAGTAAAATGCTCAATTACAAGTAATGGTCCTGCATTTATAATGTATAAAAGTAGTAGCAGCAAAATGTACTTGAAATAGAGAAAGTACTCATTCTGCATAACAAATGGAGCCTGTGGCTGATTATTATGAAGTATAATATTATTCTATATTATTAAATTGTTATTACTAATACACCAGAGTGGAGTCAATGCTTTACAGTTGTAGCTGGTTGAGGTGAAGCTAGTTTGAAGTACTTTACAGTTAGGTCCAGTGGTTTCTAACCTCAGGGTGGCCTGGTAACAAACACATTTCCCAAAATATCAAACTATTCCTGTAAAGAGGTCAGTTAAAAACAGTGACTCCTCTTACAGGTGAGATGAGGGACCGACTGTTGGAGCTGCAGACCTTCACCTCCAGGCCAGCAGAGGACAACCGCACGTATGAGGGTAACCATGACCAAACCACTGAGGATGAAGAACATCTGGTGCAACAGGCTGTTGTGTTTGAGGGAGAACACGTGATGGATGGTATCTACAAGGAGGCCCAGACGATGAGGAAGGAGATGCTGCTGCTTAAAATGGACGTGAAGCGTCTTGGGAAGCAGAACACCAGGTTCCTCACGTCTGTCAGGAGAATCAGCAGCATCAAACGGGACTCCAGTGCTGTGGGACGGGACATTAAGGCCCGAGGGGAGGCCATTTATGCACGCCTGGAGAAGCTGGGGAAGCTGAGCAAAGAGCTGGAGGAGGAGCACGGGCTTACCTCAGCTGTAGCTCGCATGGCACGTTCACAGTACGCGTGTCTGACCAACGCCTTCCACGATGCTATGTCTGAGTACAATGAGGCCGAGATGGTCCAGAAAGAGAACTGCAAGACCCGCATCCAGAGGCAAGCGGAGATCGTGGGCAAGGAGGTGAGCAGGGAGCAGATAGACGAGATGATCGAGACGGGCAAGTGGAACGTGTTCTCAGATAATCTAGTACTGGAAGGGAAGACCGCCAGATCTGCACTCAGTGAGATCGAGAACCGGCACAAAGAACTTCTGGAGCTCGAAGGCCGCATCAGGGACATTCATGAGCTTTTCTTCCAGATGGCCACGCTGGTGGAGGAGCAGGGCTCAATGCTGAATAACATAGAAGCAAATGTATGTGCTACTGAAGACTATGTTGTAAAGGCTACAGCTGAGATCAAGAAGGCTGTGAAATACAACAAAAACAATCCATGCAAAAAACTCTTCTGTTGTTGCTTCCCTTGCTGCAAATGAGAGCGCCAGTGTTATTTTGTATGTATCTATGTCATGAGAATGTCAAGATTAGAATCAAATCAGCTTCCTATGCAAAGATGACTGTAATATCTTGCTTCGGTTTGTTGAGCACCAGCTCCACTTTAAAGCAGCAGCAGTGCCCAAAGTTGACACTCTAGTGTTATTTTCTTCACTGAACTTGTCTGAGAAAATTTTGAACAACACGTTTACATGCAAATGTACACAGTGAAATATGGGTGTTTACATTTCCTCATTGTTGCTGAGAACAGCTGTTGCATTTTAGCTATTATTTAATGCATAACTCAGCTTCTTTACCTTTCAGCTTTGTAAGCTCTGTAGTGATATGTGGGATATTTAAGAAATGAACATAAATCGATGTGTCTCTAAATAAATGCCTAAGAGTGGCTAGTTTTGAAAGCCTGAATGCAAATCCAAGCTTGGAAGGGGAACTTAAAGTAGGTGTATTTCTTATTACAGCCGTTGCTTAACACTTCTTTAGAAACACAGCCCGTGATTGTGGTTAGCTGGGGAGAAGATAGATTTGTGTGGATTGTGTAACTGTACGTTGGCCACCCTAATGTTTAGTTATCACTGGCTGTAGGCCAGAGCTTCATGTTTCTCGAGACCTGTTTTTCTTATTTCACACAAAAGATCATCCAGACTGACGTTTGTGTTCATTCAGGCACTGTGACAACAATAGGAATGATGGTGCACCAAACGGGTCAGAGAATTTTCTGTTTGCACAGCAGGCCTAGCTCATTGTCCTGTCAGCGTATTGATAGTAAAAAGTAAAACACCTGTGTTTTCCAGTGCGTAGCAGTCCATCAGCCTCTGGGGGAGTCCCAGGCATCATCTGGTGAACTGAACCTAAGAGCTTCTGTGACTGAGAGCATCACACAGTACGAGAGAGAGACGACAGTGGGTGTTTTCAGAATAACTGCCTCTGTCCTGTGTTGAAATGGGTTTTAGGCCTGTAATGATTGCATTTCCTCAGCAGTGCTGTGCGGTTTGTGGAGGGACATTTACTGGCAGCACAGCTGGCTCTGTTTGCAGGGTGGTATCATGGCTTTACACAGGGAGACTCAGCTGTGGTCCTGATGTTGTGTTAGTTTTGTCTTTACATGATGAAGGTGATCGTGATTGTTTTCAAGGTTGGCCGCAAATCCAACTGAAAATAGTCCTTGTGAATTTGAGCCTTGAATATTTATGACAAAGCAAAACAGAAAGGCCGATAAGAGGACAACCACCAATGAAACCTCAAATAATGATGCAAACTTCAATGTGCTGCCAGTTTGCCCCAACAGCTTTTACAGATTTGATTTGGAAATGTTATTTACACGACTGGCCTTTCCCAGAGAAAAGATTTTTAGGCTCATTTGTGACTCTAAATGTTGTAATTACTAATTATAGCTGTGTGAGCTTAATTAAGCAACACACATTGTACACAGTTCACAAAGCTATACAGGTTCAGGAAACCACAAAGGGGAAATGCCTCAGCTGATGGTTTCTTTGTAGGCAGTGTACTTCACTGCACTATCTCGTTGTTAAATCGAGAATTGAGAACACAATCTGGCCCCACTATTAACAAAACGACAGCCGAACCACAAATGTTTGATTAACATGGTTGGAAAAATGCCAGTCGGACTCTGACAGATATTTTAACACAAGACCTAATGCAAGGTAACAGGAGGATGTGGTTACTGTTTCTCATGGTTTGTCAATCGTTTGTCTACTTCTGCACTGATGCTCAACACAAGCAAGGGCCTGTAATTTAAATTTATACACTTAAATGTTTGGTTTATTTACTTTTATGTTACTGTACATTACCTGTAGTTTATTATGTGATAAAAAGTCAGATTTGGCTTTTATCCTATTTACCTAGGACTGTATACACCCAACATAAATCACGTATGATTCATCAACACAGAAGAAACGCAGTAACATAACATCTTGTTTCGACAACTCTTCAGCGGGGAGGTGGACCTCTGCTGCCACCTAGCGGTAGGAGGTGGGAATATTTTGCCATTAAACTGACCCTTTATCAGAACATACATTGTTTATATTGGACCTTTTTAATTTCAGGGGGGAAACTAGGTTATAGCTTCCAAAACCTTACTGGCCTGGAAAAACATGCAACATTTGGAGCCTTGTCCTTAATAGGGCGACTATTTTCATTTGTGGTAATGCATCTAGAGTTGTGTCAAGTACTTTTGCTGGATTTTTTGACACTGACATCAACAGGACAAAATGAATTTTGTGCCTATACCTGGTCTTTTGCTGTATTGGCCATTTGCTTGATAAGTAAAACTGAAATACTGCCTTTTTCAGTCCAGTGCACCTTTAGACACTTTTAAGTCCAGTGCAATTTGGTATCACCCACCTGGTCTAAACACAAAACAGGACGTGCATGAGGCTTAACCAGGAAGCTCTCTTTTAACACCTTGTCAGAGGTGTCAAAGACAGTGGTCTTACGATGTGTTCAAACAAAACACCAGAGAGCAGGTGATTTGTATTGTTCAGGAACAATGTATGATATAAGGTAAAAAAAAAAATTCAAAACCTCTTTATTAAAATGCTTCAAAGTCAAACATGAAGCTGTTTT